ACTGACTATGATTGAGTCATCCCTTGATGGTATTATTGGGGAACATTAAAGTATCCATTGCACATATATGAAAAATATATTGATATTGATGTCTTAATTGACACAATTTTTAGATGGTGCTCCTGTGACAATTATATAGATATAATTTAAATATAGTAATCTTTTTTGAATAGTATCGATTGTTTTTATTATTAAAGGCTTGGTTGTCATGCACATTTCTTCATTTTCTCTTATATTGCTGTGGTTTATGAGTATGAGTATTTGCTGATATTGTTTTGGTTACAGTTGTTTGAAATTAATATTTTAGGTTTAATTAAGTGATTTAAAAGATGAGACAATAGATAATAAAATATTTATAGAAGACGTGGATGACTAATTTCAATGTAAATTTAAATATTTTGCTTTAATTTAAATGATTTAGTTGTTCTTTAATTTGTTAATAATTAGAGAAAATAAATATGAAAAATTTTACTTCTTACTGTGCGGTAATTTGTTCCCGTCTTGGTTAATTTTCAAGTCTGGCCAAGTCGTGACAAAAGTGGTATTAGAGCCGATGCATATTATTAATTAATGTAATATTGATGAAAGAACCAATAGAGTGATTGTAAGAAAATGTTAATTATTAAAATTAAAGTTAACTCAAATTAATAGTTATTATCCATTCAGGCAGTGATACACCCGAAATCATAGAAAGAATCTTATAGAAAATGAAGAATGCAACCTACTATAAATTCGAACACAATTGTCCGGACCCAAATGATGAAGACGTTGACTTAGTTGCTTCAGGAGTTCAGATTGTAGTCTATCGAAAGTGATGCAGTTGTTGTAGATAAGTACCTGAAAATATTTCAAGATCTACGTTTATTTTTGTTTAAGGGAATTAAAGATCCAATTGAAGTTGAGAATTGACCAATAAGGATAGAGAAGATTCTAGCTAGCATGGCTTGTCTGGATGAAAGAAGAGTATCATTGTCATTATATGTGCTGGATGGAGAAACCGAAAGGTGGTGATGGGTGGATCGTCAGGATAGGTTAGGAGACATACCCAATATGATGATAAGTTGAGAGGAGTTCATGGACCTTTTTAGATAGTGGTTCGTACCCCTATCCACTCAATGACAGATGCAGGACAAGTTCATCAAGTTGAGGCAAGGAGAGAAGACAGTCATGCAGTATGAAGCATAATTCACTGATCAATATGTGCGTCACAGTTGATTGCTACTACAGAAGGAATGTGTTACACATTCCTTTCATGATTAAAAGATTCGATCAGACAGTCATTAATATCTTTAGGGATTGATGAATACTCGATATTAATGAAACGAGCTAGAAAAGTAGAGATCGATTATCAAATTACTTAGAAGATAGATTCTTCAGCTCTTACCCATGGTCAACCAAGTCAACATTTTCGACCTCGAGTATATTTCCTTACTCATAGTAAGCCTGAAGAACCTACTGGTGTTGATGATGTTGAGGTCTGATGAGTTTGACATTTTCTTTTATATAAAGGTGTTTTCCCAACATACTTTCTCGCTTCAGTATTATTATCCAAAGTATAGTTGAGTCGTATTGTATCGAGTCTTTATCTTTTCAGTGATTACTTTTCATCTTAATGAATGACTCCTAGTTTCATGGATAGCAAATGTCGACTTGTTTAATGAGATATGACTTGATGTATGTTTATAAATTTTGAGGATAAATTTCTGTAAGTGGGGAAGATTGTAACTGTCTCGTTTCGTTTACCCAAGGGAGATGAAGCGAAGAATTGCAGAAGGAGAAACGAGGAGTCGGGGAAACAGGGAGAGGAAATGAAGGGGGTCGGAAGCTGAAGAGGTGAGTTTGTCCTATAAATCGACAGGAGAGCTCTTAGGTGTGCAGTCAGAGAACAGAGGAAGAAAGGAATGAGTTGTTGAGAGTTTTTCTTACCCGAGGATACTGCGCCGTGCACTGTGCTCAAGGGAAGAAGAGGATTACTTTTCTTTGTTGCGTTGAGTGGCGTATGACGGAGAGGAGGACGACATAGGAGGACGCCGAATTGTTGGTTGCATGTGCTTGGAGCCCTTAAGTCGAAGAAGGAGAAAGGGGAAGAGAGGCTCTGTCGAGAGCAAGAGAGCTAACAGCTCGCATGCGATATAAGGAGGAAAGAGACCAATGAGCGTAGATTATGGCTGACAAGGTAAACATTAAATTAGTTAAAGTTCTTTGATTATATATATATATATATATATATATATAATTTAAGCGGGATTACATAGTAAAATAATAATAATAAAATTTCCTTAAATAACGTAAAGTTAATAGCTAATTCAAAATATATAAATTATTTGAAATAATATAATAATTAGATTAAATTTCTAATACATGAATTCTATGTTTATTTTAGGCTTATAATTTTGAAAAGTCGACATCGAGATAAATAACAAATAAATCAAGATCGAGGTGACTAATAATTTTAATCTATAGTAATAATTTTTTTTTTCTCAGCGTTTTGCAGTTAATGACACTTTCACATGCTTTATTCTGATTGAGATAATTTTTTTTCTTTATTAGTCATATTATTATGAATGTTTGTTTCTACTTACTCGTGAATTTGATGACATTGGTATATTGAATTGAGTGCGATGAATACATGAATAATATGTTTATGTTAACTGTTTATGTGTGAATGACTGACTATGATGCAGTCACCTCTTAATGATACTGATGGTGGAACACTAAGATATCTGTGCACGTATATAGAAAATGATATGATATTAATGTCTTATGTGACAAAATTTTTAGACGATGCTCCTGTGATAATTATACAGATAGAGAATGATATTGATATGTTATTAATATAACAAGATTCTTTGAATAACTTCAAATGTTTTTATTATTAAATGCTTGACTAACATGCATATTGCTTTCTTTTCTCATGTATTATTGTGATTTATGAGTACGAGTACTCACTAGTATTATTTAGCTTACTGTTGTTTTAAATTAATATTTCATATTTAATTAGGTGATTTAAAAGTTGATCGATAGAAGATGAAATGTTTATAGAAGACACGGATAACCAGTAACTAGGTAAATTTAAATATATTGCTTTAACTTAAATGATTTAGTGGCTCTTTCATTTGATAATAGTTAGTTAGAGAAAATAAATATTAAAATTTTAATTCTCACCGACCGACAATTTGTTCTCGCCTTGATTTATTTCAAGTTTCGGGCCTGGTCTAGACAACTTTTGGTCAGAGTTGACATTTTTATTATTATGAGTATAATTTGAGCCAAAAATTGATTCTATTTTAATTAATCTGTGCTCTTTTAGGAATAATTCTATTTTTTTTATTGACAAATATCCTTAATTAGCCACACATGTATTAATACATAAATGCCCTTCCCCCTCCATTGCACACAGGCAGATATTATATTTATTTTACTCGCCTCTGAGAGGTGGAGATTTATTTATGTTAGTGAGATATAAATTCAAAACTTTGACAACTACTTCGGATGATTTATTGATTTTGATTCGAGCTGTATCCGAGCTAAAAACCATTATGATTTTAAAGCAATTCTTGATCTTCAAATCAAATTTACCATCCTTAAAAGGTGATTTTTAGTTGATTGAGTGTTTAGTTGGAATAGTTTTTGTTGAGAGCTGAAGTTATTAAGAATTGCTTTAATATCCTTAAAATATGCATAAAGGAGTGTTTAATAGTAAAAGTAGTTTGAGATCAATTAAATAGTTTTTAAAAGTATGCTTACATTAACAATTAACCCTACTTATCTTCTTATTTTCATCATTTTTGTGCTTATAATACATTTATAAATCCTGGTGTATTTATTATTTCTGTATGATAGAGCCTTGATGTGTTAGTTTGGTTTTCAAGGCTAATAGTCTAAAATTAAATAATGGAGAATATACTTAAAAGTGTTGGGGGATTATTTGAATAATAAATATTAAATGCGTGATATACAAATATAAGTTCTTGTGAAAAATAAACGGTCGATTATTAGAGGATCACACTATTGAATCTAGTTTGCAAAAAAAATATTCTATGATTGATATATTCAAAGGCGCACGCTTAAAAGGTGGTGGTAGCATCTAGAATACTATCAAAAGTGAATATCATCGTAGAAGGTTTATAAAACCGACTATGCTATGCGATTCTAATGTTTTGCAAAATAGGACTCACCATCAATCCAATTTGGTTTGGTAAATCTACAAGGTGTATGACCGAATTAATGTCATCTAGGAGTGTTTTTGCATCTAAACATTGGCAAAAGATGAAATTTGGTTTAAATTTTTTTATTAAGCTTGAGTGATGCATTGAGAATAAAGAAGAAAATTTGGAGTTGGCGAGGGAGATATAATCGTAGGAATAAAGAATATGAAAGTAATCGGATCCGCCCATGGTATGTTCCCCAACTATGCGAAATATACATGCGGATGGTTGATTTTTAATCGATCCCGCTCTAATAGTGCTGTATGTAGGTTATGCATAAGTTTTCCATGAATGGGTCTAGCCAATAATTACCAGTGCCGAAGGTCTACCGGTATACAAAAAAGCTTAGACGAAGATGTGTTGGGTTTGAATTCCTTAGGTGGACTAACTAAAATAGGGAGTGCCACACAATTTTTCTTGGGGGAATTTTATATGGATCCAACTAATAAAAGCTGAATTGACTTCAGTTTAAATGTTTAATAAGCGTTAGATTTTTTTATTCTAAAGTAAGAATTTTAAAAATCTCATCTGAAAAGAAAAAGGAAAAATAGAAATATTTCAGAAACTCCATTAGTATACTCCCAAACCTCTCTAGATAGTTTAAGTAAAAATTCGTGACCTATCTACAAGAATTTAGAGCCAAACTATTGTCAAAATTCGCTCGTAGACCTTGCTGTCTAATCACTTAACTTTTCATTCTTTCTTCTTTCTTACATTATTGTTAACGAGCGGTGTAACTTTTGATAATTTGGCAGTAATTTGCTTCTACTGACAGACTCTAAATTCTTGTAGGTTGGGCAGCAATGTCCTGCCAATGGCCAATTCATTGCCTTATAGATGTGCAATCTGCCAAACCGATCAGACGTCGAACCCTTTAGGCCCATTCCTGTTGCCATTATCTAAAACCTGCGAGGGCCCCTATTTGTGTGCCGATTGCAGGCGAAAGAAGGATGCAATGGAGGGCAAGAGGCCCGTGCGAGCCACTGTGTCAAGGTAGGAAAAGAGAAATAAAGAAAAAAAGAAACTTAGTTTCCAAATATTCAAGCTGGAGGAGATGTGCATCCCTGCGTGTTGAAAAGTTGATGGTGAGAAGGCAGATTAACTAATTATTATTTATGCATTGATTTTGTTGTGTTTGTCTTATTATTGTTTTATGAACTAACCAAACATAGCAGAAACTGTGATGGTTTGATGAATTACTAATCAGTGACAAATCTTATGCACTTTGATTTATTTATCTTAACTAGTTTCATAATGATACTTTACCAGAAAAACCTTTCACCTTCCCTTCTTCACTTAATTAAGCCACCACAGCAGATTTAGCATGCTGCTTAACTCTAACATAGTTTTCACGCACTAAGCGGTAAATTTGAGGTTTTATTCAGAGATGAGGTGCTTCTGGGAGCCTGGCTCTGGTATGTTCTAAGGGCCACTGGTCCTCCGGGCGGCTCGGGTGTCTGTCCAAGATGATACCGGCGGTCCATTCTCTCCTCTTCCAGACGAAGTCTTTGCGTTCTCAATGCAGTCAGATACATCGCCACTCCAAGGAAGACGGTGATCAATCCGAATACTCCGGCAACTGCGAAGAGTCCCGGTCTAATCACCGGACAAGTTAGCCTCGGCTTGGTCCAGTTGTACAGGTGACCGGACTCAACACCAATGACTATCATTAGAAGCACTTCAGCAATGGCGAAGCATATCCTGCATCCAAAAACATGACTCACATCACATCTGTAATTAAATTCTGAATAAGCAGGTGTTATTGAGTCTCATTTACCAAGTTGTGAGGAAAAGGGCACAGGCTTGCCATTTCTGTGCATGTGTTGGTGGTGAGACCGACCTCGGGTCAGGGATTGACGTTGAGGCGATGGCTGTAGATGGCGAAGGGCTGGTTATCGCGACGAGCATGTAGGCGTGCTGTGCAAACATGGCGACTGCGAAGAGGAGGAAGGCAGCCAAGGCAAATGCCAGTGGAGTTTTCCCACTGCCACTGTAGGAGCACCTGTAACTCTTGCCACTGTTCTGGATGGTAAGGATTATCCATGATGCCTGCAGGTGATTTTAAGTGAGGATTTGGTGCAGGCGAACCATGATTGCATCATCAATTTGCAGCTCTTTTTAGTTATTCTATTATTATTTAATTTATTTTAATAAATTTGAATTAAAATGATATATATGAACCAAATTTGGGCTTTTAAAATGCTTATTTATTTGCCTACGGTTGATAAAAAGAAAACTTGGTAAGGTGCTCTTTAAAAGTTGGTTTAACGAATCATTTGGGATCTTATGTTAACTTTTTTTAAATTTGGCTGCTAGAATGAATTATGGTAATAAACTATGCTCTGACTTGAAATCAAGAAAATAATTGGAACCAACATTCCCATTTTTTGCCTATTTTATGAGAAAATATTAGGTACGTGCAATGCATCTATAGACAGCAAATAGTATTTGAGCATGCATTCTGTCTCTACTCTTTCTCTCCTATTATTCGTTGCCAGTAGGTGCATTGCAAAAGCAATAATATTAGGTGTGATGCAACCCACCTACCGGTAGCGAATAATAAGTATGAACGTCTGTATTCGCACACTCTCTGTTATTCGTTGTCTATAGGTATGTTACATGTACGTAATATTTTCTCCATGCAGAGACACCGAGCAGAGCTCTAAAAAAGTAACTTATCCTCTCTTACCTCAGACCTGGAGGCCTCTCCAGCCAGGCAGAGAATGAAGCCGGTGAGGCCACCGAGCACCGACAACCCCACGAGGAAGACGATAAGCCTGCTGCTGATATCAGCCGTGCGGTAGTTCCTGATGGAGGAGAGGTCATCATGGGTGATGGCCATGTCTGAAGATTCTTAACAAAATTGAGCTCAGTTATCCGCACATATAAAGGCTTCACATGGCATCATACGGGTAGAGGAGGAAGAGTAGAATCTAAAAGAAGAAAGGCATTGCTTGTAGGTGGCAGCATTTGCGTGAACATGGAGTGATTCTCAACTTTTTTATTTACATATCTTAACATATAAATTATCATATTTATATAAACAACACCTGGACTCTCCATAACCCTCAAAATTAACACTCAGTAAATATTCTCTCCCCTTGTGCTGTGAAATTGTGAGATGCCAGCGAGTAGCTGCGGTTAAGTAGTGGCAGACTATAAAAAATGAAGAGAAACACATGATGAAAGTAGGAAGAGCAGGCTGGGTGAAGATTTACTCTATTCAGACTAACAAAATTACATATTGCTTGATTCTTGCCGGCGACTTAGGTGCTGATCGCGGCTGTAGGTTGTAGCCTGTAGGGAATGAATGGGAGGAGAACATTGGTTCGGTTCGGCTTGTCTTTGCCAAAAAAAATTATACGCAGAACTATGTACTGTGAGTCAATCAAAACACTCCTACCAAAAAGTGTATGTTAGTGGGCTTCAATTTTTTTTTTTTTGTTAAAAATAAAATTTCTGATTGGACACCAGACGCAATTTACGTCCGGTGTCCGGTTAAAAATAAAATTTCTGATTATTGGACACCAGACGCAATTTACGTCCGGTGTCCGGACAGTATAATCGCTCTGTCTTTGCAAAAAAAATATTACGTGTGGACGGGATATCATTAATTCACACATGTGAATTCTGCACTTGAGATTCGCTCTTGTTTGCAACACAAAGTGATCAGAGACGAGCTTCACCGCAAGCTCAGAAGAGTTGCGGCAAGCCAGAAGAGGGAGGCTTCTTGTTTTGTTGTGCTTGCTATAGGAGATGGATTGTGAGAGGGGGTTGCATGTGCACACAAAAAAGAGAGGAAGTTGTTACTTGCAAGAGAAGAATGACAAAGGGAAAGAAATTGCTCAAACAAGACTTGGAACAAGAGTAGACCTCACAACAAAATTAACAGAGTGCTAACTTTGTCAAAAGAAGGGAGAAATAATCCCTAGAAGGTAGAAGTAGCGGGTCAGGGTACCACAAACCCGCCATCCCAAGCTACTAGGATCATAAGTTATCTGGTCGTGAATGTAGTCGACCCAACATGTCCAGTGGTTCCCGGTCAGCAGTCCGTGAATTGCATCATCTACGGGGACCTCGATAACCCTAAGGTTAAACGAATGAGACTTTATCATATGACTATCAGATGGAGCTCCAAAAGGTGGGATTTAGGCTCTGTTTGCGTCGCCCTAGGAAGCAGCTGTGGGGAAGCAACTGCGGGGAAGTTGACTGTATATTTGGTGTAGTTGCGTGAAACCAGCTGTCGGGCAGTTGTTTATGAAAAAAATATCATACTGCCCCTGTTTGGTAAAACTGTTTAAAAGAAGAGTATAACAATCATTTTTTTGGAACTTTAGTAAGCCCCCAAAATACTAACAACTTCTGTTTATGAATAAGAACACATATGCAACACTTATGAATCTTATGTAATTACATATCTAACACATAAACTTTGAAGTTTTACAAAAATTTGCATAGCTCCCAAAGATACAGCACATCAATTACAGATAAATAATTCTATGCCTTAAATACTTCCTTGTAAGTGAAATATATATATGACTGTGTTCACTATCATGGCAACAATGGTTGTTACACCTGCAAACGATATGTGATAGATATGTAAATAAACAGGAATTCAAATGTATGCATGTGTTCACTGTCATGGCAACAATGGTTGCTACACCGCCCGCTTTGACGTCCTTCTGTCGCGAAGCCGAGAGCCAAACAGTAACTTTTCACGATTTGTTGTCACGCCGCATGAGGAAAGCCGCCCCAAACAGAGCCTTATACCCATCAAAGTGGCAAGGATGCCGCCAGAAAGGAAGAGCAAGGAATGTTCAACTACAAAGCTGGAAACACTCCCAAGAAATGACTTACAGTTCGTCTGGGTAGGGGAAGTCACTGACCCCATAAGCTCACTAGACAATCACCTAACAAGACATCAATGTTAGACTAGTCAGCTTGGAGAAGCATGAGGTTTTCTCCTCGGGAGATGCATATGATGCGATAAGCTAATAAGTCCTAATGTGGAGGCCCTATTAATTATGACTTGGGTGAGAGTCATGTTATACAACTCATTTAAAATCCTAACAATAATCCGTGAAGAAAAGCAAAAATAGATATTTGAAAAGCCAACAATTTTAATCCTAAAATTATGATTATCTCAATCATTTATTATCAAGATTTTGAGTATAAAATTTATAATTTTAAGATCTTTAATGAGCCTAGATTTTATTTTCGTAGCTTCCCAGATAGACCGAAAAGAAACTGAGAAAACAATCCAAGCATACAAACATGCAATAGAATGTAAAACTTGCATAATATAAGAAAGGCCAATGTCGTTGGGTCAGCAGCATATCCCAAGAAAAGCAGGAAAAGTCGTCGGACTCTGCATATACATGCTCAGTCCTATATCTATACAAAAATAAAAAAATTAGACTAAAGGTACAAGATGCGAGTTGCTGCTCCTGATCCTCTTCACGTGGTTCGATGTGTCATCCACCTCGAAACCCATGCCTCATTCTAGAGACTTTATCAAATATATTTGAAAGTGAAAATAAAAACTCGACCTATAGAAAACTGTTAACACAGACTAATTCAAGAAATCATATCTGAGTTATGCACTTTTTTATCGGGAGAGCTAAATAACATGTGCAAGCAAAAGGTTAGTAGAAATCATTACACGCTTCCTTTTGATGGTACCTATGTGTGTGCATATATTATGAGCATGGCTCCTTACAGAAAGCGCCATAATATTCTATCGTGCATATCAAATATGCAAGCACAACAAAAATGCACAAAAGTGATGATTGGTTAGAACATTCAAATCAGCAGAGAGTAATATTCATAGGCGTCGAAAATACTACCTATCACCATAGTCCTAGCCTAACACAACATCTAACAAAAAATTCCCTAACCATTATTTAAGTGCTCAGGGTATGTCTCCGGGTGTATATGATTTTGACAAGGTCATCATACTGGCCATGTCCTAAAGATCCAAGGGATCTAAAGGGTGTCACCCAGAAAGGATTTTGAAGAAGAGTTGGCCTTATATATGGTCTAGCTTGCTACATGCATAATTTTAAAATTATGGCAAATGTAATAAGTAGATCTTTTTTAGTTTTAAAATAAGGGTCATTAAATGCAAACCCGTAACATGCAAGGTAAGATCCTTAGCACATTCATACTTATGTCAATCCCGATGTTTTAACTCACACTACTCTTCGGAATCAACCCAACAAGTAATGTTCATAAGGCATCACGACCAACACAATATCACTCACCTATTGAGCTTGACTCGCTATCCATGCACACATACAGATGCAAATGCAGAAAATCATGTGATAAAAGTTGTAAGGAGTGTGCCATGGAGGCAGTGACTCAGAAACAAGCGTGTCGTGGAGACAGCTGCCCAAAAGAGTGGGTATACCATAGAGGCAATGACCCAAAAGGGTGGGCGTGTTTTAGAGGCAGCAGCCTAAAAAATGAGTGTATTGTGGGGGCAGTGACCCAAAAGAGTGGCGTGTCATGGAGACATCAACCTGAAAAAATGGGTGTTTCGTGGAGGCAGTATCTGATAGGGTTGAGTGTGCATGGGGTGCAATGACTCGGAGGGTTGGTGTGCACGAGGTGCAGTGACTTGGAAATGGGCAAGCCGTGGAGGCAGTGCCTTAAAAGGCACGAGCGTGCCTTGGAGGAGTTATCTCAAGTGAGTAAGTGTACCGCAAGGGGCATTAACTCAAGAGAATGATGATTCTCACTGAAAAGAATCATCCAAGTGGAGTGAGTGTATGAATGAACACTCAAAATGCAACTCAAGCGTGTGATGATGAGTATACAAAATAACATGCAAGGCACATGCAAACACACATATTATGCAAGTGAAGTTGGTTGTTCGACCCGTTGAGTCGATCAAGGTGATCAACCTGGCGTAAAGTAGCCAACCGATCTAGTTGGGCTATGGTGGCAGACTGAACTAAATTGATTGGTCTACCCAACTAGGGCAACTAATCGAAACGAAGTGGCCTATCGACCAGGCTGGGGAGAGTAGTCAGACCGAAGTGATTGGTCGATCAGGCTGGGACGACCAGACTGAAGTGTAGTGTGTGACATGCAACATATAAATCTCATGCATGATTGACCAATTAATAGGCATGTGGTTGGGCCAACTGGGATCAACGACCAATTTTCCTAGCGTGGGCAACGAAACCCAAGATGATACAATCATACAATGTAATGTGCAAGAAGCGATTAAACCAAACCCACGAGGATACAATCACAACCAATAACAAGTTAAACTAAACTAACACTCTCACATCGGTGCCTAGGGATTTAGCTCTTGGATATGTGGCATGGCTGCCTCAACTTTGACGAGGAATGTGGAGAACTTCATTTTCTGATTTCTTATAGTAGAAGTCTTTCACCATTTGTAAGATAGACTAGCTACAAAGATTTTTCTATTCTACAACCCCTCCACGATCACGTATAATGACCTAGCCATAAAGTTTTTCCCATTCTTCAAGATTGAACTATTCTTAACCCCTCCAAGGAAGCTTAGAAGCACCAAAGCTATGGAAAATTAAGATTCTGACCCGTTAGGATTCAGGCTAAGGCTTGTAATGGGAAGTCACTAGAATTTGAAAGGAATTGGCCAAAAATAGCTTCATAACCTAGGGCTTTCTCTAAGATATAAATAATCAATCAATTGGTGTATGGTTGTGCCGACTTATGTTGGCCGTCCAACTTGCCTAGCATGGGCGACTAAACCCACGATGACATCTCAAAACTGGTCAATCAAAAGGAGTGTAACCGGGCTGACCAGCAAACCGTCTGATAATGGGCGATCGATTGAGCTAGATGATACTGGGTGGTCGGTCAGATCCGCCTCGTGTGGATGACCAAACCCATAAGCACGTAGTAAAATCTATTCATATGGTTGGCTAAGAAAAAAAATGCAAGGGCTTATGAGAATCTCACCAACGCGAAGATTGCGGATGTGTTTCTTATAGTAGAGTGAAGCTCTTCTAATAATATGAGAGAAGCCCACACAGGTCCTTTCCTAAGGAAATGAGGAAACTCTCCTCACTAGAAAAA